TCACGTCGTGGAAGGGAGAGCTCACTGGGTGGAGCTCCGACCGGGGGATGCGCATGGCATTGAGGGTGTCGACGTAGAGAATGTTCAGGCCACTGCCTCCGTCCATCGGCACCTTGGTGAGGTGCTTCTTGCGGATGATGGGGTCGATGACGAGCGGGTAGTGACCTGGTCAGGCGATGTGAGAAGGATGGTCTCTCCGATCAACAGTTATCGGGGAGTCCAACCAGCTAAGGAAAGAGAGGATGGCCGACTCGGCGGCGCATGCCTCTTGGTAACGTACCTTATGCTGGCGTTTGGAGTGGACAGTGTCGGATCCCCCAAAGATCATGAGGCATTCCTCAAGGTCGGGGAAGCTGTCTCCATCCATACCCACCGCGCCTCCCTTCTTGGCCGCCTCCTCCTTGCCTTTCCCTTCCTTTGGCTTGGTGGCTTACCGCGGGAAGCGCTTGAGGAGCTCGTAGTCCTTATAGAGGTGTTTGATAGGATAGGCATGGTTGGTGCATGAACTCTCCATGAGCTTGTTGAAGTGGTCGGGCTGGCCCTGCTGGGGCTGCTTGCCCGCGCGGTCAGCCATGGCAACCAAAGCTAGGTTGGCTGGTCGGCTTTGATCCATCTTGTTCTTCTTGTCCCTTTGTGTGGAGGGGCGCTTGCCTTGGTCCTCACGCTTGGCCTTGCCCCTGTCCCAACCACCGCTGAAGACCGCCCCGACCGCCTCCTCGCCAGAGGCGTGGTTCATGGCGATGTCGAGCAGGTCGCGGGTGGTATGGGGCTTCACACAACCGAGCTTGTGGATCAGGGACTTGAAGGTTGTCCCAGAGAGGAATGCGCTGACGATGTCCACGTCGACGACATCAGGAAGAGAGTTGCACTATTTTGAGAACCTACGGATGTAATTCCGCAGGGACTCGTTGGGCTCCTGCTGGCAGCTCTTGAGGCCTCAGGAATTCCCTGGACGGACATATGTCCCCTAGAAATTTTCGACGAAGACCCTCTTGAGATCCGCCCAGTCATGGATGCTATTGGTCGGATGGAATTCGAGCCATGCTCAAACATGCTCCCCCATGCAGATGGGGGTATTGGATGATGAAGTAGTCATCATCCACTCCCCCGGCTTGATAGGCAAGCCAGAAGTCTTCGAGCCATATACCGAGGTTCATCTCCTTAGTGTACCTGGCGATATTGGTGGGCGGTCGAAAGCGTTGTGGGAACGATGCTTTCTGGATGCGGCGACCAAAGGCCTATACTCCGGTCGTTCAGCGGCCGTTATGTCGGGGGTGCATGTCCTCGCACTCCTCGATGGTCAGGTCGGGGTCCGCGCCGCCTGCTCTTGCCGCCATTCGATGGGTGTCATCATCGTGCCGGGCGTGGCATCGATTGTTGATGACGCTGCAAGCATCATGATTTGGCCCAAGCCATTCATGCATAGGTGGTCGGTGTGGAGCAGGCGCTGGGTCAGGCTGCGGTGCAGCCGTGGCTTCCTGCTCCATGCCCGGCAACTACTACGGTGAATGGATGGAGCGATTCGACTGGTGCGGCACCAGTCCCCTGGTTGGGCAAGAGGCTGCGAGCCGATGTCGTGAGGTGGAACTCTCCACCTGTTGAATGGCGGCGGTCTCCACCAGCGCCCGGAGGTTCCAGTGGATTGCCTGCTCCTAGGGGTCGGTAGGCTCGGGGAGGCCATGCAGAAGCATCGTCGCAGCAGCGATGTTCTAGCTAGCTAGAGCAAACTGAGGGGGGTCGTCCCCTCCATCCAGTATATTACGCTAGACCTGACGGGCACGACCCCGATCGCCGCTCGCTGGGTTGCTCGCATATGGCATAGCGTGCTGCGCCGGGCGCGCTGGCTGGCTCTACTGCCTTTGTCGTAACTCCTCGCCGTGCTCCTACGCACGCACCAGGGCCTGCGCATGAGGGTCCAGAGGGGTGTGAGTCTGCAGAGACTCCACCACCTTCGGTAGCTGTCCCGGGGCGTCCGCCATAGCGCACTCCTAGGATAGAGGGTGGCCAGGTGCCATGACGTCGCTGATGCTAGAGCCGTCGCTTTTGACCTGATCATCAATGAGGTCGTGGAAGGAGGCAGGGGCGTAGCCCGCCATCCCCATGAACTCGGACGTGAGAGGGGGCGGCGTCAGCATCCTCTGAAGCCCACGAGCGCACGCGTCCACTAGGGACGCGAAGCCGTAGGGGGACCGGTCGCACGGCGGTCGTGGTGGGGGCAACAGGGGTCCCTCTAAAGAGTTGGTGGCAGGTGTTAAATAGTGAGTAAAGAATAATATGTACATCACTCACCGTGGGGTTTGAGCCCAGCATGGGATCGAGGCGAAGCGCAGGTGTCTCGATGTTGAGGTCGTCGAGTGGCCCAGGGCCGATGGAGGGCGCTCCTCCTCCAGTGGGCACCGGGACAAGCGCCTCCTCGCGGAGGTGGAGTACACCGAGCTGGTCGGCGATGAAATCCAAACTCTTGAAGAGGAAGGTCTAGAGTGGCACGAAGACGGGAGGAACCCACATCCTGACAAGTGGGAGTGTGGGAAACTCTAGTGAGCCAAAATGAATCGTATCGCTCGAGCCCACCATGCTGAAGATGGTGGAAAGGTGAGCCATCCGATGACCAAAAGTGTGAACACACGGTGTCTTTCCCCACGGACGGCGCCAACTGTCGGTACGAAATATGGCCAACAAGTAAATACTTGTAGTTTTGCCGTGCGTTGTGATCGGATATGGCCTAGCACTCAATGACACAGGATTTATATTGGTTCAGGCAACAGGCCCTACGTCCAGTTGCGGTCGGTTGGTGACTTTATTCCTGAGCCTAGGTGCTCGAAGTTTGCTGTGGGGTTACAAATGAGTAAGGAATGAGAAGGGGGTGTTAGAGGCTCGGTCGAACTCTGAACCGAGTGGAAGAGAGTGACGGATGCTCAAACGTGCGCTAAGTATTGGAGCGTATGTGTGTGTGTGTCGAGCTTATCAGCTATTGAGAGCGTATAGATTGTGTAGCTAGTGAGCTCTAGAGCTGTTGTAGTGTTGTTCTCGAGTCCTCGAGTCTTCGATCCTTCTGGTAGGAGAGAGTGCATCCCCTTTTATAGTTGAAGGGGATGTCCTTACAGGTCAGAGAGAAAGAGAGAGTGCATACGGGCGCTGCCTAGTCTTGTTGGCTACGCCATCGGGTACGGGATGGTCGCCATCGTCCACCTTACTGTTCATGCTCTGTTGTATGTGGTAGGCTGCACAGTGTTCGTCTGGTACGGCAAACGACAAGCGCCCACAATACTGTTTATGCTCATACGCGTCTGGCGGGCTCTACCGTGTTCGCTTGGTACGACAAACGACGGCGTCCACAATACTGTTTATGCTCTGACGCGTCTGGCAGGTTTTACCGTGTTCGCCTGACATGCCCCGATGGCAACGTCCGGCAGGTGCGCAGGACATGGCAGGGTACGATCCTCGGTATTGCGGTTGACTTGAGCGCCTTACCTTATCTGCTCCGTCTGCTCCCCGTACTCACATCGAGCGGGCGTCCCCAGTCGGTCGTCCAGTCGGTCCCGACCGTGTCGGTCGGGAAAGAGCAACGAGCAGAGGTCCTGGCGTATTCTCGGTCGGAGAAAGGGGGACGGAGTCGGACTGCGGTCCTACTACGGCTAGGCCTTCCGGTCGCACCTCCGATCAGATCTATTGGCCGGAGATGCCGGTCGGCGACCGGATCGTGGTCTTGGCCTGTCATTGTGTATCTGGGCTGGCCCAGACACGTGCTGTCGCTGCGCCGCCTGCGGGGCCGAGTTTTGTAGGGAAACAGATCTATTGGGGATCCCGGGTTTATGAACCCGACACCACACGACCAACTTCGACGCCCGGAACCTAAGTGGGCACACTTCGTCCAAGTTGGAGATTTCAAAAAAAATTAACTTGAGCTCCTTACATCCTTCTCACAAACCTCGGCTTCGCATAAGTCTAGGCTTGGCTCCTGGTTGAACAACTTGAACATCAATTCTAATAGCTCGGACGCTCGCTCCAATAGCCCGGACGCCTGACTAATTGCTCAGACATCTTCTTCAACAGCTCGGTTTCCAGTCAGACAGGTCAGAAGCCTGTTCCTGACAATTAGCGGAGTGTTGGTCAGCTCGGATAAGCTTAGGACGGTGTTGCTCAAAGGATGCAATGTGCTCTGAGACTAGTTGTGGGGGTATGACCCCCGATACACATAGGGTTGTACATGGGCTGAGCCGCTAGGGGGGGCCTAGCCCACGAGAGTGCGCATGAGCCGCGCCACTTGTGGTGGCCCAGCTTACAAAGACAACGCCGTGTGAAGCACGGCACAGGTCGGCGTACCACGCCCGAAGATCCTCGGTGATTTAGAAAACCTGCTCGGATATGTTAAATCCCATAATATCTGTAACTTTCTATCATGTAAACCGATCAGGATAGAAACAATCGATCTGTAACCCTACCTCCGGGCTATATAAGACGGGTATGGACCCTCCTCGTTTTCATCTGATAATACGCAATGCAACCCACCGAAAGACACAGGACGTAGGGTATTAGCCAAGTCGATGGTCTGAACCTGTCTAATCGCTCATCCGGTTCTCTCACACGTACCTTCATTGATTTATCTACTACCATAAACATACCCCTCGATACGTTGCGGGCCATATCTCGTGACGGTAGTTCCTGTGTGACCGATCGATTTTCCGGTGGATCAACTGCTCCTCGCTTCCTATCACAGCGATGAATGAATTAATTAATGGTCATCACTCATCCGCACTCGATACAGCCCAACCACTGAGAAACGGAACGGCGAGTTGCAATGGTTAATCGCTTGGCTTTTGGCATTCCAACTCAAAGTTACTCGGCACTACGGCAGGATCCCACTGGGTTCCCCTATAAATCGCCAACTCCTTGCGTTCCTGCATATAGCATACTGCAAAGTGCAAATCACGCACTGGCCGGCTGTGTAGTCTGCAAGCGGTCAACCGTCTTCTTTTTTTCACTCGCCGGAGTTCGGCACGATGAGGGACTACTATGACAGCGACGATGACGACGTCTTCCGAGGCAAGTCTGTGAGGGGGAAGGCGACTAGCGGTAGCAGGTACGGGGCGTGGGAGCAGAGCGAGCTGGAGAGGCACATGTTCTCGTGGTCGCTACAGGATGTGCTCAACAAGAATCTCCTAAAGAAAAAGGTGAGCATCTACCTTTTCAGCATCCCCTTTTATCTTTTCCAGTTTATCAAGCAGAACAGAAATGCATATATGCCAGTTTTTATTCTGATTGACCTAAATGTATGTATCGATTTTATTTTTGTTCTGGTTTAGGAGTCTTTTGTGCGATAAACCTGACGTATGTTATTATTGAGGAATAAGCCTGAATTTTGTCAGTGGATGAGCCACTTGTAGTACGTAATCACGTAATGACCAGTAACAAACCCATGTTGATGACAAATGCAGGTGAAGAAAATACCCAAGACTTTCACTTCACTGCGGAGCTACATGGAGTCCTTCACCTTACCGCTGATCGAGGAGACCCGTGCCGACCTGTGCTCCGCGCTGGAAGGGATCAAGCACGCGCCGGCGACCGAGGTGGTCAGGATGGAGCAGCTTGGCACGGACCCGGGCCAGGCCATCTTCAGCATCGTGGTCAGGAAGCCCGATCCCCAAACGACGCAGCGGGATCATCAGGTATACGCCCCGAAGGACGCCGACGTGCTGGTGCTGACGGATCGGAAGCCCCGGCACAGCTCGGACCTGGGCCGAACTGGCAGCTCCTCCTACCTGATCGGCTCGGTGCTGAAGGCCGAGGGCGGCGACGACGGCACGGTCGTGCGGCTGTCGCGGAGGCCTGAGGAAGGGCCGCCTCTTTTCGCGGTGTTCCTGATCAACATGACCACGTATAACCGCGTTCTGAACGCTGTGGATGTGCATGCGGCAGCATGTAGGAACACTAGCGTCATTGAGAAGATGCTGGATCCAAAAGGTATTAGACATTAACCCAGTTCTCTAGTCTCTAGCTACAGAACACTGCTGTGTTTCTTTACTTTTATACTCCCTCGATGCTCAAAAATGAAGTTGTTTTGGACAGCGACACGGTCTCCAAAGCATAATTTTGACTACTTATTTTTATAAAGATATTTATTAAAAAGTGATATGTAAATTTTTGTGAAAGTATTTTTACATATGGTTTTCATATTTCCAAATCCAACGACTTAAAAGTTATTCATGATTTATATTCTCAATGTTTGACTAAGCCTCGTCTAGAACGACTTTATTTTTTAAGTATAGAGGGAGTATGATGTAGATTTTTGTTTCCTTTTTTCGATGACAGTTTGGCAAAGATCACAAAGAGCCATCATCTGTAGCACCTTCGTTTTATCTGGATGGGGAGCTTGGTGACCTCGAAAATTTCGGGCTAAACGAATCACAACTCAAAGCGGTGGACGACTGCGTTTCAGCTCTGCAGCAGCCGGGCTGCGCCGTGCGCCTCATCTGGGGGCCTCCTGGGACGGGGAAGACGAAGACCATCAGCGCCCTTCTGTGGTCCATGTTGGTCAAGAGCCACCGGACAGTGACCTGCGCCCCGACGAACACCGCGGTGGTGGAGGTCGCATCTCGGGTCCTTAGTCTCATCGAGGAGTCCTCCGGTGGCGGCGGCGGCGACAGCGGGAAGAAGTGTTTTCTGAGTGATGTGGTACTGTTCGGCAACGAGGACAGGATGGCCGTGGAAGATAACCTGGGCAAAATCTTCATGGACTCGCGTATCCGCCGTCTGCGTCAGTGCTTGGTGCCAGGCACGGGGTGGACAACGTCCCTGAGTTCCATGCTCCAGCTTCTAGAGCATCCATTGGTTCAGTATGGTAGGTATGCTGACGACATAGAAGAACAGATAAGCGATTTGGCCTCAGAAGACGAGTTGAGAGATGAACTTGCTCCCCATCTGAAGAACAGAAAGGAACTTACTAATCAAAAGAAGATCGATGAGGTTCAGGAAATGCAGAAGAAAATACTGGAGATACAGAAGAAGGTGAGGGCAATAAAGGAAAAGAAAATGACGTTCAAGACCTACTTCCAAAGTAACTACACACGGCTTGTCAATGATCTGCGCAGGTGCCTGGAAACTTTTGGCAATGATCTTCCTAGATCTGCAGCGTCAGAAGAAAACTTTCGCTGCATGGCAGAGGTGCCGCCCCTGCTCAATGCGTTTGGGGAACTTGTGAAGTCTGAAACAGATGAAAAGCTGCAGGCACTATTCAAAAATGATGATGATAGTGCAGGAATCCGTTCATTGTTCGGGACTCTGTTGGGTCAGGTGAAGGCCGATGTAAGTTTCGAGCTGAAGGACGCAAGATCTTCGTGTGTTATGAAGTTGCGGCACCTGTCTCTGAACTTTGAGCTTCCGGAGATGTATGAGAACCGGACAGTCGAAGAGTTCTTGCTCCAGAGGGCTAAGAGCGTGCTCTGCACGGCTTCTAGCTCATACCGTCTGCACTGCCTTCCAAAGGCCCAGCCGTTCGATGTTGTCGTCGTGGACGAGGCAGCGCAGCTTAAGGAGTGCGAATCACTGATTCCTCTGCAGCTGCCTGGCGTCAGGCATGCTGCTGTTCTTATCGGCGATCAGTACCAGCTACCAGCCCTCGTCAAAAGCAAGGTGAATCCTTTCTTTCTCTGTGCTACTTCACTTCACTTGCCATGATAAAATTTTCGATGTCAGTTTACATGAAAATGCTGTGATCTATAATCAAACTCGTGACAGGTTTGTGAGGACGCGGAATTTGGGAGAAGCCTGTTCGTGAGGCTGACATCCCTGGGGCAGCCGAAGCACCTCCTCGACGTGCAGTACAGGATGCACCCATGGATCAGCAAGTTCCCCGTCGAGAGCTTCTACGACGGCCGGATAACCGACGGCCCCAACGTGCTCAATAGAAACTACGAGAGGCGGCACCTGACCGGCCCGATGTACGGCTCCTACTCGTTCATCAACATCGACGGCGGGAACGAAAGCACTGGCAAGCATGACCGGAGCCTCATCAACGCCGTCGAGGCCGCCGCCGTGGTCCGCATCCTGCAGAGGCTCTTCAAAGGCATCCCTGAACGCCCGCTCCGTGAGATCCTTTTTAGTACTCGTTTCTCTCCAACGATTTTACACGTCGCGTCGGCATGCAGAGTCCGTCGACACGAACAGGGCGGTCCGCGTGGGCGTGGTGTCGCCGTACAAGGGCCAGGTCCGCGCCATCCAGGAGAAGATCGCCGGGGCGGAGTACGCGGCTCACGAGGGGTTGTTCTCGGTGAAGGTACGGTCCGTGGACGGCTTCCAGGGCGCGGAGGAGGACGTGATCATCTTCTCCACAGTGCGCAGCAACACCGCCGGCAAAATCGGCTTCCTCGCCGACATCAACCGCACCAACGTCGCGCTGACGCGGGCAAAGTGAGTGAGCGCCTAGTAGCGCTTAATTGTTTTCTCCGGTAACGCAAGCACGGTTGTCTGATCTCTGGGTTTCACCGGGTTGCCTTCTGTGTCCGTACGTTGTGTTGTCCGGCAGGCATTGCCTGTGGATTCTGGGCAACGCCATGACGATTTGGCGGGGGATCGTCGCCGACGCCAAGGACCGGGGCTGCTACTTCGACTCCAAGGACGACAAGGACCTCTCCAACGCCATAATCAAGGCCGCCATCGAGCTGGACGAAGTGGAGAATCTGCTCAATTTTGATGGCCTGCGTATCGGCGGGTCGAGGTCCGGGTTTCGACCGTAACCGAAGCTCACAATTTTAGAAACAAAACGAGTTTGGCCGTAGTAGCCACCCATTAGTCAGCACTGGGTACTTTACTTGCTTCTTTATGAGGTGATCGATCTGGAACTGGAACCCTTAAATAAACACCACCAGGAGATACTATGGTACTACTAAAATTAGTTGACGCACAACGACGACGGTGAACTATACTAGTCGCTAACGTCATGAAAAGATACGTTTGAACAACCATTATTTATTCCCTCGGTTTAAAATACATGCATTTGAAAACCGTCTAGTGTAAAAATGTTTCCACAAAGTGCAAGTTTATTTGTTACGGAGTACCTACGTTGGGTGGAGATTATCATTGTACTATTTCTGCTCGATTGTGGGATGCCCTGCGGAAGTTTCTGAAAGGACTGTGCTGTGTTCACCTTATGCTCACCTATGGCTACGTACCTCCAGCAGGATGCATGAAGCATCTCTCAATCTCTGAATGGATTGTGGGGATGCCCTGACACAGTTTCAGCATGGTGGCTCACTGAAGATACGTCCTTCGCATGTGGTATACATGTTGGATTTTACGTAGTTTTTATTGTTGAATCGAATGTTGATGCGACTTGTGGTTATTTTTTTTAAAAAAAACATTGCTTCTGCGTAAAACAAGATGTGCTTTTTGAATTGTGACAAGTCCATATAGGCTTATTATATGGGAAAAAATAGAGGGAGTAGTAAATAGCACTAGAAAATTTAGCGCGCTTTGCGCGCCATCAGCACCACTAAAGCCGTATTTCTAATAGATGAGAAGATAAATGATCGTTCACATTATCATGGTAATACAAATATTGGTACTCATTTGGGAAAAAAACACTAACCGATGTACAGTAAATCACAAACACAGTGAACATTCCATTTCAGATTATGAATCATCAAGCAAGGGCGCACTATCAAAACAAAAATAAAGTAAAAGCTACCTTGGATAAACATTTTCTTTTTGCAAGAACAAATTAACCAGTTAGCTGAGATGGTAAATATTGCCAATAAATTAGCAAAGTCTGGCACCTGAAATATCCGTTGATGGATCAATACTCTCTTTTGAAAGAACAAATTAACCAATTAGCTGACATGGTGATATTGACAGTAAATGAGCAAGCTCACATATAGCATATAATAACATAAAGCTTATTTTCTAATAGCTTTGCAGTCCACATGATACATTACATATGAACAATTTACAAATCGCATAAGGGACCATGCTAAATACTATTGTATGTATACCCTCAGAAAGTACTCCTGATTATATTCGAGTCCCAAATAATTGTGGTAAGCGCTCTTGTGGATGCACCTGTAAAAGGAAAAGTATGGTTCTTGTCAGCAACGGTGGATTGAAAATCCTAAATCCTAAAGTAGATAAATTTGTCATGATAATGTTAATGTAAACTCAGAAGAGAATTAAAGCTCATCAGTGAACTCCAAATTTCAAAAATTTGGTCTGATTGGCATGTTTTTTCCTCATGTCTTATAGCATGTATCTCGGTACCATATACAAGTAGATGAAAAAGATTTTTTTTTTCATCCTTCCAGTTAGGTATGAGATTAAAGCCTAAATTGGCTAACTACTATACTCAATTTGCAAGCACAAAATCCACAACTTCAGGAGTCTTACTTCGTCACAAAGAAAAAATACATGACTAAGAACAGAACCAACAAGTGCTTATCTTGGCTGAGCTAATGTTCCAGCCAGCACATCTAGTGTAAGTCTTCTGGACATCATCATGGCAATATTAAGTGGGTTACTGGGTTCTGCAGGAACTGTAGTAACCTTCTCATTTTCTCCACTCATAAGTCTCATCAAATTAAGAGATGAACTTTTTTTTTAAAAAAACACTTTGAGTTGGATACCCAACCTAAAATGAAAGAACTGTCCTGAATAGAAACAAGGAAGGGGTCGTACTTTGTAAAATGAATTAACTAACGAAGGGAAGGGATTACCATAAAATGAACTTAAAATGAAGTTATCACTCTGTGTTGTTTCTATGTTTGCCCCCAATGCACAGAGAGAACTGGTGTACAGTAAAACATCAGGCTGGACAAAGCGATAAAATGGATGTAAATTCTGGGGCCTGACTTGTTCATCTCATAGAAACAATGCAGAAGCCATTGAGGGCAACCAGGTCAAACTGAAAGCATATTGGTTAATCTTGATGAGGAGAACACAAAATTCACAGTTATTTATTTTTTCAGAGCCAAACTGCTGTGGACACTGAAATACAGATTGTTCTTTTCAAGGCATAATTATTGGTCACCATGCAACAACGTAAGTGTTTGGTTGATCGATGGAAAAAGCAAAGAATGAAAAATACCTAGAGTCCCGAATTACCAACTAATATAGTCTCCAGCAGGCAAACACCAATAGGATTATTCTAATTGTCAAAAAGATCATTTCATCAACTATGTAGATAGAGAACAATACCTGTTTTCTCAACAGAAAAACACAACGACAATTATGACGATAACTAAATGGACACAAATCACAACTAATTTAGTCAATAGATTCTTTGTTGCATCAAACAGTTAGATGTTTTGGATGAGCACAAGAAAGCTGAGATCATCACAAGTCACGTACCTTCCCCAAAAGCCAGATACCTTGCCATACCAACAAATGTTTTGTCAGGGCCTCAGGCGTGGATTATACAAGTTGAACAAACAACATACACTGGAAACAAGCCTTTAAGCAACCCCCTTTTATCCCAGAAGCTAGCAATCTAGCTGATCAAATTTTCAGCTAGCGGTATTGCTTACACTTTGATGTGGAGCAGGTCTGTCGTCAGGCTGCTGGGTTCTTAGAACCAACGTTGGTGACGAGGCTGCAGATGACAAAGGTGCAGTCGAAATCTGCAAAAGCATAGTTGAATGCCCAACTCCCCATCCAGGTGAGCAAATAAAATCTTTGAATTGGAAGAGAGGGAGAGGAAGAAAAAGGAATGTGCCAATGTAAGGGATACACGACGGGGAGGTGAGGAGCAGGTGGGTGGTCATGTCGAGCCAGCGCCCTGCAAGGACGTGCTCCTGCGCTTCAAGGCAAATGTCTGTGGCCTTGGGGTCGGCAACCTCCGAGTCCCGTCCGTCATCGTCAAACCGCGAGCGGGAGCAGAGGGGCCGCGGCGCAACGGACACGGATGGAGGCCAAAGATGTTGGTGTCAATTTAGGGTGGAGGACGGCAGATCTCATGCCTGCGCCGGCACAGAAGGCCAGGAACCCCGACATGCCGCACGGGCCGTGTGCGAGATGCGAAGATCGGCGGCGGCGGCGGCGGCGGCGGCGATGGGGAGAAGAGAGAGAAAAGAGAGAAGAATGAGGGGTGCAACACAAAAATTGTCTAGGGGTTCTCTGCAGAAATGACGACGATATCGATTTTTCTTCTACGCGTTAAAATAAGCGTTCCAACAAGGGCTTTATGAAACAATTTAGACGCGGTTACTGTATATACCGGTTGGGCTGAACTGTGGGTTTATTACTAAAACGATAGGGACTTTTCTGCAAACCGTTTGCGAGCACGTGTCGACCCATGGAGAAGCCACGGATACTTGGAATTCAATCCCGAGCAGTTTTCGGCCCTGTTTGCCTTATAATCTGTCTTTTTCAGCTTATTTTTTTAACCTGAATGATGTTTTTCTTTCATAACAAATCAGTCGGAATAGTATTTTGTCTTGTTTTTTTCAGCGAAGCGAACGAGGCCTTTAAGGAACCTGATGCGGACCATGCATAGCAACTTAGCACGCCACACAGCAAGATTTTCTGGTGCTTCAAACTATTATGGAGTGTAGACTCTATGGCGAATTAGTCTGCTGTCATGTCAAATCAAACATTAAACATTACAAATCAGTGCTTAATTAGGTTAAACCACCTTCTTAGCACGCTTTATGAAACGGTTTACCTGGTCAGGTCTAAACACCTCTATTCTAACTTATCACCGAACATAAAGGCAATCATGAGTATTGATTGCAGCATTTTTTTTACCGGTACGACCAATGGAACCGAGTTAAGTTGCCAACTCTAGAACGAAGCTGCTGTCCAGGAACTTTTTTTTTTGAGACGCTGTCGAGGAACAGTAGTGTCTAGTGTTATGCAAAACACGGATTCCAGTGGAGGCGAGGAGAGTTGACGAGTGCCTATATATATAGCAGTAGAGCAACAGCCACATAGACGACACACGGCGTCCGCGGCAAGATGGTCGCCGGCGAGAATGGATGCGCAAACGCCTTCTCCAAGTATGAGGAATTGGCGTCGTCTCTCCCAGCATCCCAACAGAGCCTCGGGAGCTCCCCGTACCGGAAGTACGAAGGCTTCTGGTACCCGGACCACCTGCTGGCGCCGACGCTGGCGATGCGGGACACGTTCGTCGCCCGCCCGACCGACATCATCCTCGCCACCACTCCCAAGTCCGGCACGACGTGGCTTAAGGCGCTCGGTTACTGTGTGGTGCACCGCGGCCACCACGCGCCGGCCGACGAGCGCCACCCGCTCCTCGCCTCCAGCCCGCACGACGTGGTCCCGTTCCTGCACTCCATCTACGAGAACCACCGCTCGGCGTCGCCCGGCCCGCTCCTCGAAGAGATGCCGTCGCCGCGCGTCCTGGCTGTGCACGCGCCGTTCACGGCTCTGCTGGCGTCGGTGCGGGAGTCCGCGTGCCGCGTCATATATTTGTGTCGAGACCCCAAGGACGCTTTTGTCTCGCTCCGCCACTACCTCGACGAGATCAAGCCCGAGGGGTCCGCCATGACGCCGTTCGCCGAGGCGTTCATCCTGTTTTGCGACGGCGTGTCACCGTTCGGGCCGGTGTGGGACAACATGGCCGAGTACTGGAAGGCGCGGCCGGAAAAAGTGATGTTCCTCCGGTACGAGGACCTGAAGGAGGATGCTGCGGGGAGCGTGAGGCGCTTGGCGGCGTTCCTCGGCTGCCTGTTCACCGGCGAGGAGGCAGAGAGAGGTGTCCCCATGGCGATTTTGGAGCTGTGCAGCA